GGGGGCCGAAACGGCCCCCCCTGTCCTTTTCGGTCGATATCTCCTAAACGGCTGGAGATATCGCCACCAAACTTGCAGGACCCCTCCGGGCATCAATTTTACACATTGTGACCAAAAATTTTTCCAGAGGCTATGATAGGTTGGCCACAAATGACGTCAGAATGACGTCATGTTCTGTCATTTTCGACCGAAAAAAGACCTTCGCGAGAAGACCTGTCAGGCCAACAGCTTTGAAGATACAGAAAAATGATCAAAACATAAAAGGTGTAGAATTGACAGGGCTACAAAACTGCTATCTAGGATTTTTGAAATTTTTGAGTTCTGACCCCCAAAAATCAAAAAAGCATTTTTTTATATATTAGCCAAAAAATCCATTAAAAATTTTGAGTTTCGAAAAAAACCGGAATATATGTGATAGTACCTACCACCTTCTATCTACATACCAAATTTCAGATCGATACCTCGTTTTTTGGCCAAGTTATAGCGAAAAAACTGTTCAAAAATGATGACGTCAAATTTTCAAACTCAATTTTTGGCAATTCTAGACCTCGTAGAGCAAAACAAAGACCACCATTAGACTCCCCGTGACGAGCTGCATCGAATCGATACCCATTTTATGCAAAAATATCAACTTTGAAATTTGACCTAATTTGACCTGACCTTGACCTGACCTTCACCAAAACGTGACCTAGGCTGGCCCCAAAGGCTGCCTAACCCACATAATCGCATTTGTCATGTAAAATGGACCATAAAACATGTATCACACGACACTTTCATATTGTGACCCCCGGTGACCTGACCTCGCTGTGACCTGACCTGGTATCAGTGACCTCAGATAGCAAAGTATGTGTTTGACGAACAATGTACCGTCGATGGTTTTCAATAAATTACCAATTTACTCGATTTCACAACACATTTCTTGAAATGCCTGTGAACGGTGAAAATCTGACCTTTGACCTGACCTGTGACGTCATCGGTTTGACCTAGGTCAATGAAATTTGGTCACAAGGTAGTTCCCGGGTAGGGCTATCGAACACCGTTTGAATTTTGAAAATCGGCCGGTAACTTTCCGAGATCTTAGGGGGGGGCCGAAACGCCCCCCCCCCCCCCTACGGGTGGTAGGGTCCGCCGGTAGCCCTACGGGGCGCTGGTTAAAAAAAAATGGAAACGAAATAACGAGGCCCACCGCAAGATGAGCCCTATTTTGGATAGTACTGCGTAAAGAATCGAATCCTACCTCGCAGAAACTTTGATCCTTCCGTCTGAGAGCTCGGTTCTTCTTGAGTGCGTAGTCGGTTTTCCCGAGAGTCCTGTTCCCCAGTCGTGTAGTAGGGAGGGTTGTTTTGACGGACCTACCCGTCTCACCAGACTGGCTGCTGCAGAAGTGAGTTAAGATGGTCACCCAGCCCACAAAACCGGCTGGTCACCCAATGTTCCTGTTCCACGGCTGCACCAATCGTAAGAATCAGCGCCCCAAAACGGCAATAAGGTCACAACAATGTCACCTTACCGGTACTACCCGTCAGGGTCAGGACAGGCTGTTTTATAACCGAGCCCTCTGTTTTCTGGGAGCCTCCGACGCGTAGAAACGGCACACTTTGAGGATTTATTATTGCTGTGATTTTCTGATTTAAGCTCATTGTTTGACTTTTTGTTTTTGAGAACCGGTGCGCTGACTGATCAGCTGCTTGATTTGGGAACACTCCTATCTTATAAACATGTTGGGAATATAAGGGGATTAGGAACTACGCAGTGCGTTTCACTATCACTGCTGCTGATCTGTGGAAAACCGGAATCTACGCACACGTAGATGCTTAATGCTTATATATTATTTACAAATGTGTAGTACGTATTTGCGAATTAAGTTGTATGAGTGTCGGAAAGGCAAGCAACAAAACATTGCCCTTATTTATTCAAACTATTCGGTAGGGGCTTGAATTATTTAATATTAAGTTAACATATTTCGTTAAAAGGATCCGATACAGGTTTATGTGATGTTACTATGGAACCGTTAATTGAAATCCAAACAACAAGAAATGTTAAGGAATTGCTTTATACTCGAGAATTACATAATGCAGAATAGTTCAATAAACTTTGAATGTAGTCAATCTCGCCGGGCAGATCGGTTGATGGTACCGGATTTTAAGATGACCGATCAAAATGTGAATTCTGACCGCTAACGTCAGGTCAAAAGCCGAAAGTTCTATGTTCGGTTTTAGCCAAAATGGACGAAGAGCGACAATTTAAGCACCATTGCGTTTGTCACGTCCAGTCACATTGGCAGCATAATTTCGTTTGGGAAGAGTTAACTTGGTTGCTGGGTTCAAGTCAAAGTCAGGTCAACGTAAGCTCATAGGTCAGAAAATTGGTTCATGGAGATTGTATGGTATATCATTCGATTCGGCAGCTCATTTAGGTGGAGTGGGATGGTGCCTAGAATCGCTAACGCAGTCCCGTTAGGAGATAATAGCCGTTTTCACGACGGGCTATCCGGCGAATGCACCTGATTTGACCAAACCTGCACCTAATTTCTTTTACAGCAAATATCTTCATTTTATGAGTTCATTTCAGTGTCTTAATCGATGATGCTCTCTGATAGTATGACAAAGCAGGCATATAAGCATTTAGTGCAACCCTAGCTGATAGCTGCTAAGAGACACACTGAACCTGATTTGACCAAATCTGCACCTTATCTGTACCAGACGTGCACCAAATGTGTACCAGATGGCCGTCGTGAAAACGGCTATTGACGAAGAACCATGTTATCGTGATTCTTACCCCCCCCCCCCCCCCCCAATGACCTTAGTGACACAACACATGGCATTGCACAAGAGGTCTATGGTTTGTAACATAAACTCTTAGCATTGGACCTCGCAAATAGGATGTCAAATTGTCAAATATGATTTAGAATGATAGCTTGAAATGAAGATGATTTCCGAAGCTGAATGATAAGCGGTTTTAAGAGTTCCACTTCACTTCGAGATATTTCCTGGCACTGAGAGCGTTTTGTGCTATATTACGACCGTGCAGAGAATCATGCGTCATAATCAATGAAAATGCAGTTGATGCTTCAAGATTTGACTTTAATGAAAAAAACGGGTACCTAAACCAACTAATGCAACATTCAGCTTTACCATTCTGCGACGTATTTTAACCCGCGCCGGGCCGGGGGGTGTTTGAACACCCCCCCCCCCTGCGGTTTTTCGCAGATGTCTAAAAAACAAACGATCTCAATTTTTGGCACACCTGTTCGTGCATCTTTTCCGCACATGTTGTGAAAATTTCAGACCCAGGTCGCCTTAGGTCAGGTCAACAGGTCACGCCAAGTGACCTCACCTCAGAAAAAAATCAGAATGCTCGTCATAGCTACACCGAGTGATGGATTTCCTTGAAACTTTCAGAGATTGATTAGAGCAACATTATCTATCAAATGTTTATCTCGGAATTTTGATATCGGTGACCTGAGGTCAGGTCAATTTTGCGGCCTCTCCATTAGGTATAAGTCAATGGGAGAAAATTGAAAAGCGTCTTTTTTGCACGAACGCTATTCTAGACACTCAAACATCGATATATAGGTAAAATTGGCACACTGAACCGGAAAATGGCAACTATGACCCCTCGTTATGTCCCCGAGGTCATCTCAGGTCACGAACAGAATCTAACAGTTTTTAGCTAATAACTTCTGATAGAGGCGTGCTAGAGCGCTGAAAATGCCTTAGATGTGTTCGGCTTGTCGTTGCGGATCGACTGATATGCAACATGACCTTTTCCTGTATGTTTGATGCAGTCTTGCAATGCAATCCAGCCATCCAAGAAACTTTGCGCGAGACGTTTTCTTGGATGGTTTTCTTGGATAGCTTGATTTCATCGAGGGCTTCTGTTTTTAAGAAAATTTGTAAGCTTTGCTGAACTGTAAAGTAATTAGAACTGCCAGTATTTCAGTATTTAACGTGTAGTTAATGTTACTGTATTTTATTTATGCATATTTCGGCCTTTTTTAAGCAAATAACGAACGATATTAAGAAACATACAGGAAATAATATCTAGGACTCTACCGCGACGAAATATTTCTATCTCGAGTTTTCAAAGAATTTCATGCACTCGGCCAAGGCCTCGTGCATGAAATCCTTTGAAAACTCTCGATAGAAATATTTCGTTTTCGCGGTATCGTCCAAGAATGTATATTCCGGTCAGGTCATGAGTATGACCTTGACCTGAGGTCAAATTTTCAAGTTGACCTTTCAAGGTCAAGTTATAGTTCATTCGACGCTTTTTGACGAGAGGAACATTGACCTGAGGTCAAATTTTCAAGTTGACCTTTCAAGGTCAATTATAGTTCATTCGACGCTTTTTGACGAGAGGAACATGATGCTGGCAAAAGTAATGTCATGGCTCTTTTGAGTCAAAAGTTATTGCCGAAAAAAACGCTTTCCGTAAAAACGGCTATTTTTGGAGTTTTTTTTGCCCTCTGGAGGCTAAACCGTTGACCTGAGGTCAAATCTGAGAACATTACTCAGAAAGTTCTGTAAAAGGGCTATGGAATGCGCTGTAGCTCTATCGGTTCCCGAGATAGCCGTTGGCAGTTTCCAAAATGTTTAAATAGTGAACATTTTACCTTTGGTGACCTCTGATGACCTGACCTTTGACCTGACCCAAAAAATGACCGAAGTGTTTTCGTCCTTATTTTGGACGTTCTTTCGATTGCCGCTTACCGCGTGTCGCTACGTGGCCCAGGAGCCGAGTTAGACGCCATCAGTCCAGCTTAAAAGTTGAAACAGCATTTCAGGAAGAGTCAGTCTAGAATTAACTGGCTCTCGAAGGCCATCGTTGGGGATGAGCCACTAGAGGACGGGCACAGATCGCTTGCGAGTCCGTGCTTAAGAACTGGATTCTCGGATAGTTTTGTGTACCACTAGTCTACTAATCACCACTGTTAGCTCAATAGGAGAGCGCTGTGCGATTCACGAGTGTTAACCACCTGTTTTCTCGTGCTGCCGCAGGTATTGTGCGCGGTGGCGGCCGATGCGGCGCCACTAGCGGCCAAATCAGACACGGCGGCAGAGATCCCGCTCTCGGCGCCCGCTGCGCCTCACTCTGCCCTCCTCATCGCGCCTCTGGAGGTCAAGGTCACCAAGCTGAAGAAGTTCCACGCGCTCGAGAAGGTTCTGAAGGTCGGTAAGAAGCCGCACAACGTCCTCGAAAAGGTGGAAGTGGTCACGGAGCCGACGCCTGCGCCGGCTGAGACGACGACAGCGCCACCTACATCAGCCCAGTCTACTGCAGTGCCCTCTGCGCCGACTGAGTCGACCGCAGCGCCCTCTGAGCCGGCAGAGGAGGGCCCGCTACTGCCTGAGAGAGATGTGGAGATCCTGAAGGCGCACATATCACGTCCTCTGGTGGCCACTACCATGTTCGAGGACGAGAAGGCGGCACGATTCCGGCACTCAACACTCTTCGGGTTCCCTTCATTTTTCTAGAAGTGGCACCCGTGATCCCTCCATTCATTCATCCATTCATTGTTCATGTTGAGGTGTGGACGGGAGCTCTAATCACTAGCGGTGTCCAGAGGGGCCAGCAGGGCCGTCTGCTGGGCCCCTGGCTCCGAGTGGAGTTCAGTCTGCGCTCACATCATCGTTTCATGCTCATAATCATCGAAATGCCGCTCGAAGGCATTTCTCCCGGAGTCCCGATAGTGGGGCGGCGACAGTGCCGCTCGATCGCGCGGTTAGAATTAGGATTCGATACCTTGTGCTCATTTTGTGTTGATGTCAGCATATGTGCGTAATTGTGCAGTCCTGTGACTGAAGGTTGCGCGATGATACTTTTGCCAGTCTATGCAGTTCTAGGTATTCAAAGTTAATTTATCTACCTGAATATCATGAAGTGTACCTAAACGAACCAAAGGAGCAAAACCCATGAAACTGTTTATACATACCGTAACGCGCCAAATGCCTTCATGAAAACATGCGCAAACAAACAACCATGACGAAACATGACAGCACTTGACGTTAGAAAGCATAAAACATGTGATGGCTGACTAAATGAAAAAAGCCTTCTGAGCCAAACGGCCTCTATACGCGTTACCTTCACATAACCGTCAAGAAATTCTTCGTCATAGCTTGTGACAATGCGTTCCCAATCGTAGGTAATTGAAGACTGGTTGAGTGTGTGCATGTATGTATATTGAATTCTGGTATGTATGTTTATGGTATTGTGTTGAAGCTGCTAGGGTGACCGTGAATGGCACCCTGTGGGATTATGTGGCATTATTGTGGAGCTGGGTGGCCGCTGCAGCCGCTGTCAGCCCGCAGCTGGCGGCTGGGCTATGCAGCTGTCGGCTGGGCTGTGCAGCTGTCGGCTGATAAGCTGCTGTTGAGCTGCTGTCCGTACTGCGGAGCTGACGCATGTTCAGCTGTCACGCTGTGGCTGCCTGGTCACCCTTCATTTGCGTCTAGCTGTAAAGCTACCGCCTGGAAGTACATACGTACGACCGGTCGAAATCACGCCCATTGATGTTCATTCATTGTGTATCAATAATAAACGAAAATAAAATATCGTGTTTATTTAAACTTATCCACGCCAAGGCGGCCAATGACTCACACATCCTATGGCAGAAAGTCGCTCCTGCTCGAGAGTTCTACTTCTCAAGTGAGTTCCGAATAGACTGCATAGTGCACAGGACGTATTACCAATAGCAAAGTAATCTTGCTATTACCTACCCAGTCTAATGGATTTCCTTGTCTGTTGTCTACTTTTAGTACTTTTAGTAGTTGTTTCTGCCATAGAGAGCTTTTGTAGATCTTAGACAAGATCATAAAGATCTTATAAGGAATATCCATGGGTGCAGCATTAGAGACAGCTCATTTGTTATCATAGCTCATTTTTTGGCCTGGGTGGTTTGATAGCATAGTTATCATGCAGCTTCTATTCACTTATTATTTATATATCATTTGATACATTTCTGCATCGTTAGAAACAATTCACATGGTGAATATGGTATGTATAAATTATAAATTCATTTTACAGTTATCAACAGCATCACAAGCCATCGAAATTTCGATGTCAATGCACCAAGCGTGTTTGGGGATGAGCCAGATAGGACCGCCACGCGAAGCGAACGGATGTATAACGGTTCACGACGCCCTCCAATAGACCAGTTCGACCCCCAAATCCGCGGTAATACCACCAAATAATCATGGTTTACACTATGTGAATAGGCAGCCAAGAGCAACGTGTCCCATTATGTAAAAATAGATCAACACGCAAAAACAGATGTGATGACTAGGTCGCCAAGGACATAGGCAAGATTTTATACGACAGTGGAAGTGAGGAGCATATATTGTCTATGATTAGGCGCACGCCTTCACTGACATGGTGCTATGAACTTTTAGTTGTTTGGTCTGATACGCTTTTCAGATGCATCTGAAGACCAATGGGTCATCTCATAGGTCAGCCAGGGGTCAGCGATGACCCATTGGTCATCGCCTACCCCGGCTACCGCCATGGTGCCCGCCGCCCGGCTAGTGCTAACTGCTACCGTTGTTTTGATTGATCAGACTCTATAGGGGACAAAATAATGAACTGTAAGCGCGCCAGTGTTACATAATAGACTAAAGGCCGCCGCAGTATCTGATGGGACCTTAATTGTGGACGTTTTGCTGCGACTTAATGCAAGTTGCATATCAGGAATGTTGTCATAACCACTTCACCGTAAACTACAAAAAACGGGTAAACAAAGAGATCGTTAATAGCTGAAAATGTCAAAATTACCACTCTGATATTCATCGACCTTTCAGCCAGCCTGTTTTTGAAAGACCAGAATCGACCGACGGGCTGGTAAGATTGCCAGGAAGGAAGACTTGGTATAGTCAAATCCCAACGAGTAGACAGATATAACTATGGCATTGCGTAGTATGTAACGTGTACATATAAATAACACGGCTGTGAGGCCTTGGGCCGCAGTGGCCGCTGCAGCACCCGGTGGCGCTGGCAGCCATGGCCCGTCGCCGGGCGCTGCTGCTGGCGATGCTGGTGCTGACGGGTGCTGCGGAGCGCTACCAGCGGCTGGACTCGGCCCTCAGCTACGGGCCGGCGCTGCGGACCCTCAGCGCGCCCTCGGAACTGTGCTGCGTCGGCCACTGTGAGCCGGAGAGGAAGTGTGAAGGCATCGTGTACCGGTCGGAGGACGACCAGTGCTCCCTCTTCGATGGCGGGTGTCTGATTAGAGCCAACAGTTTCCCATGTCCTCTCGGCAGGGCTACATGGACCGGAGGGCATCGCCCAACTCCTCTGGTGAGAGACCCCTAGAGAGCAAGTATCAGTGATCCCATTTTTCATTATTGCACACCTTTTCTCATACTTCATGATCCAAAGTCTTGACCATAAAGACCTGTGACATGTCAAGAGCTGCGGCACTCTATCGATATTCAGTACCAGACTCATCACTTGAGCAGTGGCAGTGAAGGCGGCACGGTAGGCTGATCTACTCGGGTGTCCGAGTCTCGTGGGACGCCTCACGTGACTGCGCTATTCAGCAAGGTGGTGAAACGCGACTAAACTGACACCCCGGACATGTGTTCGATGGTTACCCTAAATGTATCGGCTCAGGAAAATGCAACGTGTCATTCGGTTTTGGTAACGAGTTTGTTACTTTCAACAGTAGGCTCGAGGCCAAATGTTGCGTTTTGAATGCATACCCGAAATAGGCATAAAATTAGGCTTAGATAGGCTATCCAGTATCCAGTAATGCTACCCAGAAGCGGTGCTCATTGATCTGCTGTTTAGGCATGACGAGCTATGTAGTGTCCAAGGACATTACAACCTTGAAAGCATCCAGACTATCTAAGGACCTAAATGGGCAATACAAGCATAAGAGCCGCTCTAATCGTCTATGGTTGCAGATCGTTTTCTTAGGAAAACAGAATTCTTGTGAAGATCAATCCGCACAATGCATTATGCAGTGTCATGTCATATTTAGGCATTCGAAAACCGTTGAAAGAATGGAAACTACCCACAACACCGTTTTTGTGCTGTCACATACCAGTTATTCATTATTCATTCATATGTGAAGTGACTTATCCGTGAACATGCGAAATAGCTCGCGAATCGTCAATGGATGCAGGGGGAGGGAGTGCCCCCTCGCACTCGATGAAAAAGTGTCATTTTTCTAGAATGAAAGAAAAATGTAAAACTTTGAATAGGAAAAGTTTTTTTTTTAAACTGCACAGTAGTGCATAAGGATTCGAAATCCGAGGAGTTTCTAGAACTTGAAGAAACCTGTTCGGATTACGCCGCCCCCCCCCCCTCCGCAGCGTCCGAGATCGGTTTTGTGGATCCGCCTTTGATCGTGCGCATGCTGATTATTGGCATTAGCGACAGGTAGACTAAAGGCCTGGCCACACTATGCGTTTTCTGCGCGCGTTTTTGCGGCTTAGACTTTAGAGTTATTTGCGTAATATCGTTCTAGAAAAAAAAATTATAAATAATATAACTTTTACATTTTTTATATGCAAAAGTTGATAAAATTATTATATATTAACTAAAAGTTAGGGTCAAACAACATCACAAAAACTAAAATCGTTCATTTTTCTAGAACGATATAACGCAAGACACGCAAAACTGCAAAAAAAAAACGCACGCAAAAAACGCATAGTGTAGCAAGGTCTTAACTTAAAAAGTGATAAAAAATGAACCCATTGATACTTTTTCACAAAGCACGTGCAAAAGAAAGGAATACTAACGCCGGTTCCTCCCGTGAGACGCCCACGCTATAGCAGTCTGAGCCGCCGCGCGTGTAGGGCCAGCAGTGAAGTGACTACTTGTCCAGTGCGGTGGTACTCATGCGCGGCGGCTCTGGTGTTACTGCCGTAGCAGACGCTGCAGTCTCCTCGTTGAACTCCGTGCCAAGAGATGGAACTCCAAAATCGTTGGCCGTTTGTAGCCCGCCAACGGTGATGGAGTTACCAGATCCAGACACTAGTCGGTTGCCAGGTCGCAGACGCTAGTCGAGGGTTGCCATATCTAGACACTTGTCGGTCTACCGGCTCCAGGCACTGGGCAACAGCTACCAGATACGATAATCGATTAATTTTAGTGCTGTCTCTTCGCACTACCATAGCAGCAGCCATGGAACGGAATTAAAGATAGTTATGGGAAAATTAATGGGAATATCCCTTTACAAAAGACGGCACAATGGCACGCCAGTCGTCAATCTCGCCCTCGCCTGACTTAAAATTATTGACCTCACAATAAATGTCCGCAATCCATCAGTCTAAAACTGATGCGTGAAAGAAACAAGGGCTAGATGGATGCTATGGCAGGGTGGCTCCAAAGCGCGTTACAACACGCGTGTGTATACAATCGCGTAATACAGCACATCACGAGTGGATGTAAATCATCTGACTTATCGTATTGTGTTTGCAAGAGTGAAAGGATATTGCAGAGTTGAATAGAAATGAAAACGAAAACCCGGGACTCCCCGGCACTCCCACACGCCCTTGAAGATGAATGCTCTCATCAGCGGCCTTTCTATTTATTCGGGTCGCTCCAACAGGCTATTGGCGTCCCAAGTTTACATGCATTGTAGTTGTCATATCGATCACTTCTTCATTACGGAGCGAGCGAAGCGAGCGTAGTCTTTCCTTAGATTAACGGAAATTTCTGAGTATGAGCGGCCGGCCGGCCGGCCGGCCGTGGTCACGCTTTTGCGAGGCTTATATCTCAGCAACCACTTGACCGATTTACACGCGGTAATTTTTGTAGGGTAGCTTCATTCCTTCTACCAAGTATTGGACTATTCCCGATGCATGAGGGTGACCCCTTATGCACGTGCCACGTGCAAAACGAAGAGGTGTCACTTTTGTAATTGTTGCAATATCTCGGTAACTACTTGGCCGATTGCGCTGAAAGTTGGCATGTAGGTAGGCACCCACTAGGCACTGCATATACATGTGCCAGAGTTGGGGCGCTGCTGCACGTGCGCACGTGCAGGGGTCGTTTCCAGATCTCGAGAACGGCTCGACCGATTGCGCTCAAATTTGGTACACAGTTAGGGACCGGTTAGTAGGGTGCCGTGCACAAGTCAGTTGGGACCCATTTTGCACGTGCGCACGTGCAGGGTGCCGCTTCCAGATCTCGAGAACGGCTGGGCCGATTGTGCCCAAATTTGGCACATCGCTAGAGACCAGTTAGTAGGGTGCCGTGCACAAGTCAGTTGGAGGTACCCCCTCGCAATTTCGCACGTGCAAGGCCCACCCTCTCGCTCGCTCCGTTAGTCGCCCCAAAAGGCGTTATACTGGTTTAGTTATCAAGAGTCATATAAACACGATCTTTACTAAAGACAATTTGAAGTCTTGTCGCTTGCTTCGTGACTAAGTTTCGGATTTGTGAAAGTTGCGAACTCATCATTGTCGCTTAATTAAAACGGTATTTATTTATATCAAGTATGTTATTGGCCGTGTTTACAACATTTTAGTTGGATATCAAATATCATAAATATCAAGTAAAGTAACCGTACTCTAATAACTGATATAAAAAACGTAAAAAAGGCCTG